AACCTCTCTCTTACCTTCCCAGCAGTTCCTCGTAGATTCGACTCACCGTCTGAAAGTCTTGTTCCTTAAAAACACGTGCTAGGGTGATAGACAGGATGAAACCAGAATTGGAAGAAGCAGTTATTTTTGTCAAAGGTTCCCAGAGCTGTGAGGCTGGTGGTGAGCACTCTTTCTATTACTCAGTCTGGAGCGACTATCGTCTTCTGGTCATGTCGAGTGCTCAGATCCTGCCTACTCCCACAGGCAAGTATAGATTGAGTGGCTCTTCAGTGCCATCCAGTGTTCCTTCTAAGCTGAGTTAGTGTGAGCCAGCTCAGTTTTTTAGCCTCCAGCTCACACATTTTTGTCTCGGCTCAGGAAGGAGGGCTCCAGAGCAAGCTAATTTATGCAGCAGCCAAATTGCTCGCTCACAACTTTAATGCCAGTAGCTCACAAAGTAGAATTTTTGCTCACAGGACTCCACAGCTTCGAGGGGGCATTGGTGCCATCTAGGATGTTCTCTACAACTTCTTCCTCCGGTACTTGATTACATACAGGGAGGTGTGCATGTGTTATTTGACTGGGGAGAATGAAAACAATGATTCCTCATCTATCTGTCTGTCTGTCCGTCCAGCCATCTTTATTTTACCCTTCCCCTAAGGAGTTCAGGAAAGCATCCATAATTCCCACTCACATCCACCTGCCTATAGATAACTGGGTCCACAGTCATACAGTGAACTCAGGGTAGGGTGGGCATTTGAGGCAGGGGGTGGGGGGTTCCCAACACTAGCCACATACTACTCAACCAGGCCTTGCCTTCTTGAAGCCCTTGTCCTTCCCTAGCAGAGTCCAGTTCCTGGAATCTGAGATCTTCTGAGGAGAAATGGGAGGAGGACCAGTAAACAGTGAGCGGTGAAAGGGTTCTCCGCTCCTCAACCTGTTTTGCTGTTAAAATTGGTTCCATTCACTCCTCTTTCCTTATGACTGGGGAGGTTCCACGTCTCAACATACGGTCGCCATACTGATTTTCACTCTCAGTCTATTGCTGCGTTCCGTGTCACACGCAGAACTGAATGTATCTCTGGAGATAGGGGCTGGTTTATTTTTTACCTATTAGAATATGTAAAAGGATCTCAGCACCGGTGTGGTTCTGAACCTTAAGTAATCTGTGGCTTCAGAGGGTCTGTGAATCGGGCTCAAAAAGAAAAAGAAAGGTTTTTTAATTTGATTTCCTTCCTGTTATTTTAAAAACTATCTTCGTGGGAAAATAAATCTGTTAATGTCAAATTGTGTTATTAAGATACTGTTTCATTCCAGACAAGCATAGAGTGGCACTGCATGCTAGTGTATCCAATCAGGTAACACACAATCCTCATCATCGCTGTGTTGCACTGTTTTTCTGGGAAGGGTTTCATAGCTTCAGGGCTACTTTTGGGCCGGAACGCACAGGAACGGAGTTCCGGCTGGCTTCAGAGTTGGCCACGCCCACTACAGTTAAAACGTCTGTGCTCGTGGCTACAGAGGGAAGGCCTGGAGAGCAAAACCCCCCCCCACGACTCCGAAG